TGTTCATTACGTCATAGCTTCGCCATTGTGGCGATAGCTCTAGTCGTTCCATTAAGAGATCAAACTGTCTTTTTGTGAGTTTCTGTAAATTAGCACTTTCACTATCACAAATTTTGTAATTTTTATTTTCTAGTTTTTTTAAGGCAACAACTTCGGGAAGTACAACAACAGCCTTTTTCGCGTTAACCTCTATAATAACAACAACAGCAACTTCTTCAACTTCTTTTACATCGACTACATTTTCCACATCAACTCCAACTACAATAACAACATCTTCAACAGTTCCTACAACAACAACGACCCTTTCTACATCAACTCCAACTACAACAAGAACATCTTCAACAGTTTCTACAACAACAACGACCCTTTCCACATCAACTCCAACTACGACAAGAACATCTTCAACAGTTTCTACAACAACAACGACCCTTTCCACATCAACTCCAACTACGACAAGAACATCTTCAACAGTTTCTACAACAACAACGACCCTTTCCACATCAACACCAACTACAACAAGAACATCTTCAACAGTTTCTACAACAACAATGACCCTTTCTACATCAACTCCAACTACGACACGAACATCTTCAACAGTTTTCACAACTTTTTCTACATCAACAACTACAATTAGAACATCCTCCTCTTCAGCAATTTCTTCTACAACAACAGCGTTTTTCATACCAACTCCAATAATTGCAATAAGAGCAACTTCTCCTTCAACAGTTTCTACAACAACAACGACCCTTTCCACATCAACTCCAACTACAACAAGAACATCTTCAACAGTTTCTACAACAACAACGACCCTTTCCACATCAACTCCAACTACGACAAGAACATCTTCAACAGTTTCTACAACAACAACGACCCTTTCCACATCAACTCCAACTACGACAAGAACATCTTCAACAGTTTCTACAACAACAACGACCCTTTCCACATCAACTCCAACTACGACAAGAACATCTTCAACAGTTTCTACAACAACAACGACCCTTTCCACATCAACTCCAACTACGACAAGAACATCTTCAACAGTTACTACAACAACCTTTTCTACATCAACAACTACAATTAGAACATCCTCCTCTTCAACAATTTCTTCTACAACAATAGCGTTTTTCACACCAACTCCAATAATTGCAGTAAGACCAACTTCTCCTTCGATAATTTCTTCTAGAATAGCAACCTCTTCCACATCAACTCCAACTACAATAACAACATCTTCAACAGTTTCTACAACAACAACTACACTTAAAACATCCACTTCAATTTCTTCTACAACAACAGCTTTTTCTACATCAATTCCAATATCAAAATTTACTACTTTAACAACTTCTACAGCAACAACAATTCTGACAACTAAGAAGCCAAAACCGCAACACAAGAAAAAAACTGCTCCTCAACTACTTCTTATACAGCAGCAACTTCTGATCCAGAAAATACGAGAGGAATATCCTTATATCTATAAACTTTTGCAACAACAAAATCCTTTGCTTCAGCAACTTCTACAACTACAACAGCTTCTTCAGCAACTACAACATAAGCAGCCGCACCTTCAGCATCTTCTCCAGCAACAACAACAACTTCTTCAGCAACTTATACAACACCAGCATAAGCATAACTGTAAACGTCAAATACAAAGTCTTCTTCAACAACAGCATAGTATCCTTCAACAACTTCAACAACAACAACAACCATTACTGAATCAACTTCAACACCAACAACGTGTTATTCTTCAGCAACTTCTTCAGCGACAACAGACTGTCCAATTTCTACTGCAGCAGCTACCTCATCAACAACAATTATTTCAAAAACAACAACCTATTCTTCAACAATTTTTGCAACAGCAATTGCTTGCTCTTCAGCAGACGCAACAGCAGCTATTGGTTCTCCAACAACAACCATCTGTTCTTCAACAACAAATGCAACAAAATCTCCAGCAACTTCAACATCAGAATCATTATCATCATCAAATTCAACAGCAACAACAAATTATTCAACTGCTTCAACAACACCAAACTGTATTAAAGCAACTTCAACAACAAAAACAATTACTTCTTCAGCAGCTTCAACATCAAGTGCAAATACTTCAGCAACTGCAACAGCAACAGCCTTCTCTCCAGAGATTATTCCAAGAACAACAATCTCTTCTTCAACAACTTCTACAGCTACAACAGCTCCTTCTTCAGCAATTCCAACAACAACAACCACTTATTCAGCAGCTCCTCCAACAACAACAACTTCTTGTGCAGCTTATACAACAACAACAGCAACTGCTTCTACAAATGCTCCAGCAACCTCAGCAAATACCTAATCTTCTTCAACAACTTCTCCAGCTACAAGTCCAATTCCAACAACTTATGCAACAACAACAACAGCTTCTTCAACAACTCCTGCAGAAACAACCTTCACTTCAGCAACTTCTCCAAAGACAACAGCCTGTTGTTGAAGAACTTCTGAAAAGTAAACAAAGTCTTCTCCAAAAGTTACAACAGCAATTGCCCCTTTTGTTTTATATCCAATAACCATTTCTCAAACAATTACAGCATCAACAATAAGTGATTTCTTTTTCTTATGGGATATCTGATTTTTATATATTCATTTTCTCTAAATTCGAGTACATATCAACACGCCACATTATTTATTTCTTTTTCAAAATTTTCACATAAACTTCTTCAACGATTTCCCGCTTCAGTAATTCCTGATCAAAGTATTTGATCTAAATAACCATCAACTTCTCTATAACAGCAATTATACTTTACATTGAACTTTTATTATAATTGCAAAATTATGAAAAATATCTGCACAGAATTTTTTCCGATATGTAGATTTTTATGAACGCCAAATAAATTGCATTCGAGTATATTTTTCATATATGTTGCTTTAATTTTAAATTTATGCTTATTAAATTGAAATTGAGCAGTAAATTCTATTGCAAAAATTAACAGTAACCAAAATTTTTACACGTACAACTGTCAAGTTAAGGTTTTATTTTCGCATTTTTCTCAATATCATTAGTCTGAATCGAACTTTTCAACAATGGTTATCACATTATCTCCAGGCTCATATAACTGATGGGAATGTTTGACCAATTAAGAATCACTTTATTGTAATATTAGAAAAAATGAAAATATGCTACAGCTATAGTTTTGCCCACAAAACATAAAACTTTTTACATAAAACCCTTTAAAAGATCATTTTCAGTAGTAGAAATGCAAAATTTGTTTGCTTCTTCAAGGCAACAAACAATTAATAATAGCTGAAAATATTTTTTTTTTTTAAAAATGCAAAATTTCTTTAAATAAATAAATAAATACTGGCATTTCTCTTAAATAACTCTGCATAACTCAAAATATCCTGCATAACAAATTAGTAGATACTATCAGAAAAGTAGAAGAGATTTTATATGTGGAAAAAATTTGCTCAAATCTATCAAGACAGAAATCTATAGACTAAAGATTGTTATATTTGAATATTCTTAAGATCGACAATTATTTCAGTTAAAATTGTATTATTACAATTAACAAAAAACTTCCAAATTACAATTAAATGCGTACCGTCGAAACGCAGTGCTATAAAATATTATATTTGATAATCTCTTCCACTCATTTAAAATTCCATTCTGTTGGAAATTAACGATCACTATATGAGAAGTAATTCCTACTGTCTAACGTTAGTTAATTTTGAGAGACAGAAAAAAAATAAAATATATTGCAGAGAATTTATTTCGGAGATTTGGCACTGTTGATTTTTTTTTTTTTTTTTTTCTTGTAAGAATCAATTAGTTTAGTTTAGAAGAGGTTTCTTTATTGCTTGATTTTGAGATGGATAATTTGTTGTATACATTGATAGCATGCAGTAATGCAGAAATATTGCAAAGTCTTTATTAACAAATAGAAACAGATAGAGCAGAATGAAAAAATTAAGTTTCTTATAATAGAAAATAAATGAGTTGGCTAAAAAAGTTAAAACACGAATAGTAGAAAATTTTGTGATAAATAGGTTACTACTAGTATTAACTTAATGTTTGCATAAGTATATATAGTTAAAATGGGAGTGATCATGCTGAATCATTTGTTAAATTTCAGGAATTATCATACAGCAAATAATATTAATTTGATATAAAAAAGGAAAAAAAGAGATGGATAATTTAAGGTAACGAACATCAAATCGGAAACAATTTAATGTGACAAAAATCAGATTGGAAGCATAGGATTTAAGGATTTAAAATGTAAATATTTGAGCGATTACGAATGAAAATGTGAATTCAAACATTTCCATATAATTCGTTTGCAAAAGAATCATCGCATCATAATATCTTCATAATATTTTAGAGTTTTATGATATTAGAAATTCACGACATCAGCATTTGATTCCATTCGTTCCAGTAGTTCCGCTCCACCGAAGCAATCTTTGATCTACGGCAAATTTCAACCAATTTCTCTGCTACAAATTATCTGTGAATTTGATACTACTTATTAATTCTTATAACGTCAAGCAGCAATAAGTTTTTATTCCACTCTACTCGTTTGCATTACCCAGCTAATTAGAAGGAGTTCATCATTAGCCAAACAAATTCTCGAAAAAATATTGCTGTCATGAGCAGAGTTGTCTGCCACTATAATCAGAAGTGCGCAATTGGCAAAGAAGAAATTGAAGAAATTTCTGGATGAAGTTAAGGACATGAAACTATTTATCACAAATTTTCTAGAGCAATCAGATCAAAAGTTGTCAGAAGATGCCGATAATATGTTATAAAAAAAAAATTGTCGATTATCGAGGAGAGTATTAGCTGCTTCGAATTATATATGGAATCGATTGAGAGCATAATTAGAATATATAAGGATAATAACGACTCCTTGGAGAGAAGGAGAAATTCGCATAGATAATTGATAGTGACAAAGGTACTTTTAATTTGATAAATGGATGGCGGTATAGAAGCTAAAATAATTCTGTGTATAGGAATAATATCAGGTTAACTTTCAAGGGTCAATTCAGGAGTTCGAAGTAAAAGCTGACCCGTCAACAAGAACTATCATTTCTCGAGAAACGGACGTAGCAATGGAAACCATTTCTCGAGAAACGCACGTAGCAATGGAAACCATTTCTCGAGAAACGCACGTAGCAATGGAAACCATTTCTCGAGAAACGCACGTAGCAATGGAAACCATTTCTCGAGAAACGCACGTAGCAATGGAAACCATTTCTCGAGAAACGGACGTAGCAATGGAAACCATTTCTCGAGAAACGGACGTAGCAATGGAAACCATTTCTCGAGAAACGGACGTAGCAATGGAAACCATTTCTCGAGAAACAGACGTAGCAATGGAAACCATTTCTCGAGAAACGCACGGCAGTATGATTGCTAAAGGTAATACTAAGCAGCAATCATGCCATACCAAGTAGAACAACATTACATCGCATATAAAGCACAAAAAATTATTCATTACACCAAAACAAATTGTTACAATGTCGAACAGAGCCAAATCGTTCGTCGGTGTGTACCTGTGCCTAGCAGGGATATTGCGCACTGTACGGCGTATTTCGATTTGAAGGGAGGTGGAAGTGATAAAGGTGATGTTTATATATATATGTTATATGGGTATTGACTAGTGATACATAGGAGTTATAGAGAGAGAGAGAGAGAGAGAAAGAGAGAGAGAGAGAGAGGATTTTGGAGCAATTTTTTTGTATTGCAGTGCATTTCCAAACTAAAGTATCTAATGTTTTTGACTAAGAGAAAATGCAAGAAATATGATATTGCTCCAGAAAACTACAACTTATAAGAAAAGTTGTGAAAAAGAAATTTAGAAAATCACTTGCCACTAGGAAGAAAAAAAAAAACTGCATTCTACCAATAAAAAAAGCTAAGAAACTAACTGTCGAAGGAATCAAGAGAATACTTGGGTAGTTAAAAGAGATAGACGAGAATCTAAAGCAGAAAAGCATCAAAGTTATTATTGAAAGGAGATTGCCTGTTCGGATGTTGATGAAGTATAACAACAAAAGAAGGAATCAAATTCCGATCAAATTTCGACAGCTCCTCGAAAAACTAATTACAGGAAAGGAAGAAATCAGAATTCAAGTCAAACATAAATCAAAGATCCTAGCAGATAAAATAAAACAGAAACCTCGGCTTCTAGTTACAATAAAACCGTAAGGATCAAATGACAGTAGACTTCCGAAAGAAATTAAGAAAGGAAGTTCAGACGAGCTTTCAGTCAAGAGAAGGACCTTATTTGTTTTGCAACGAAGATCATTGAGATGACGAAGTTAAATTTACTCCATCTTGAAGTAGCAGATTAAATGCCTGAGAAAAGTCAAAATATCCCTAAGTTGTCGTCAAATAAGCCATATAGCAAAAGATTGAAGAAAACCAAAGAAATATATTTTATTTCAAAGACATTTTATAAAATCAATTGAATAGGTTATTTCTTCATGCAGTTCATCAATTTTTGCCACATCTAAAAACCAAGGAAATATATTTTATTTCAAAGACAACATAAATCAACGCTATATATTATCACCGATATCTGAAAACTTAAATAAAGAATAGAAATAGTCCGAATAGTACTTGTTTTTAACAAAAAAACAAAACAATACGACGATGAAATGTTAAATTGTTAGCCCATACCTAATGAACGATGTTTTTATCATCGATACAAAAATGATCAAAAAAATCAACAAGAGTTAGCATAGAAGAACTATTGTCACCAATTTCTTTCTGACAGCAAAAAAAAAATGTTTTCTTGATGTCTCAAACTTAGATATCTAACTTTATTCATGAAATGCTTAACAAAAATAACTAGCTCGAGCTCAATTTAAATGGCAATTTTAATGACGATATCAGTAACAGGAAGGGAAATACAGAGACTACATCAGATATTGCAACTCCAAAGGATTTTAGAAAAATTTAATCCAAAGGATTTTAGATAAATGAATGTGATGGATCGAACTGTATGCTATAAGATCACAAGAAATGGCGTCTTTGGTATGTCCACTATCGATTCAGCGTTCTTTGTTAGTGCAAGATGAAATAAAACTTAAAACAGTAATGATGTCTGGTTTTAAAAAAGGGATTTAAAATAAAGTACTGCTTTCTTGTTTGCTACTCGCCATATCAGCGGGACAATCATAAACTCAAAACAAGCTCAGAATATTAGCTATTCATGGAAGAAACAAGTCAGAAGGAGCAGACTCGAAAAATGGCGCAAAAGTGTGTACCAAAGATTTCTAACAAATAGTACGAGAAGGAATTTCAAAGAGTTTTGAATATTTGTATGATTTGACAGTAACAAAATAAGCAATGCATTGCAAAATTAACTCTCAACTGTTTAGAAATGAAATATCAATTTCCTAAATGATGAGGATAGTTAGAAGTTTATTGATTTAAACACTATTTTATCATTTTGATGTTTTCCGTTTCTGATACGGTTTTATCATTCGGAGTTATGCAATAATAATCAGTCTATAATTATCGGATATTTTTTATTTTAGTATTGAATTGAAGAAAGTAAAAAGAATTTTAGAATATTTTTTTTTTCATAATTCTTCTGATCGTTTCCAGCAACTGATAATTGGATGATTTTGCTCCATAGCTTGTATTTCTCGTATCGTTTGTCTTTGCACTGTTTTATCATGAATTCTGTCCAGTAATATCATCTCCAACTTACTCATCGGTAGTTCAAACAAAATACTTAGCCAATATGCAAAGAACCATGAAATGATACAACATGGTAGTGCAAAGACAATGAACTGAAAAAAAAAAATTCCCATTGCAAAATGTCAGTGACAAATAATATAGAAAATTAAAAATAATCTCTCATGTAACAAATCAATCGATAAACTTCTTCAAAGTTGATAACTTTTCAAAAGTTATAAAGTAATCACATACCGTATGAGTAATACTCGAGAAGCTAAATGCATTAACACCTATACATAGCATATATATCAATACAATTAAATGAGTTAGATAAGTGCAGTAAGTAAGTCTACCCAATGGTTTCCATACTGATAATGACATGAAATCATTTATGGGTCCTGTAATTGAACCCTGATATTAATTATAATTTCACATAATTGTAAGTGGATGAGATAAGACAATTAATTTTATAATCGATAAATTTAATTCTGATGAAACGAATAAAACACAAACTAATGGTTTACTCTCTCTTTTTTTTTTTTTTTTAAATTGATCCAAGAAATAATATTTGTTAGCTAAAATCATTTTAAGGAACAACCTGACGAGTAATAAATAAAAAAAAAACTTATCATATGATATGCTTACCTCCGTAACCGTAAAAACATGCGATTGTAATATAAGCTAAAGATAAACTCCACAAAAGCTTGCTAAATGCAGAATAGAAAGCTCTCACAGATAAATCCATCATAATATCATAGCCCATCCAATCTCTTAATGACATTATCACTAATAGACCGAGTGTTAATGAAATGATCCAACAAATAATATTTGTTAGCTGAAAATTTGAAATTAACTAAAATGACTAAAGTAATTAAAATTAGAAATAATAATCATTGTATGGTTGAAATTGATCATATTGTGTTCTACTTAAACATAATAAATTATTATAAATTTTTTTAAACCTTTGATATGTGGAGAGTTTTTATAGTCTGGAATAAGTAGCCAACTAGAATACCTATAATATAAACTTGGCATCGGATCCAAGGTGCTTGATATATCAAAAGTGAGTAACGTCTAAAATAATGAAGCAGCGATTAATTTATTAGAATTACTCATAAATTTAATTTCTCTATTTTTAATTGAATGTCATTTTTAGTTTGCAATGATATCTCCGACAAAAAAAAAAAAAAAGCAGTCACTGAATATTTGAATTACAATTAGTATATCATTGCTCCGAATCAAAGATTCTAAGTAAAAATTTGGAAACTTTTGGATATTTCTTATTCCATTATTTTTAAATTGAAAGTAAACCTGTATGGACCCATTCTAGGATCCATGACACCTATATAGAAATCTGTTGGTGGAAAGTACTCCATATACACTGTCACCAAATTTGCAACTGTTGAAAGTAGTAAGAGTAGACCAGCTATAATGAAACCAAGCATAGGTTTCAGAGCTAACGGTATCAGTAATGCTGGTGCAAAAATGTGAATTTGAAAATCAGTTGCCAGATACCATGTCACCAAATAGCACTAAATAGTTTTTTATACACAATTATTTATTCATCCAATCAATAAATACTTCTCTTCACTTATCAAATATCCGTTTAATCCTGATCAGTATTTTAGGTTAATGTTACCATATTCAGAACCACATGAAGTAAATGAACTTACTTGACGATTGTAATAAATAAAATTGTTGAGGTATAAGAAATTGGTCCACCAACTTTCCTCGCAATAATCATTAAGTGTCATTAAAATAACTGGCATATTAACCAAAAATGATTTAAATACAAACGAATAAAATGCTATCACAATATAATAAGGTGGTGAAAGTCTGAAAATTATTAATTTGCTAATTGTCTTCGCCATTAAAATGAACTTAAAGCTAATTGATTAGTTTAAAAAAAAGTATTCGAAAATATAACAGTTAAGATTGATTTTTTAATTTTAGCTTATTGTGATTTATTCATTACATTTCACTCTTAGTCAAAACGACATTGTTGTACAAATATATTAATGAATACCGAACTATTCGATGGATGTAAAATATAAGCCAAGTGGTTGATGACATTGCTTTCTTCTTGTCTTTTCGGTATTCTTTGAACCAAGTATACGATACTAATAAACCAGACATGAAGAAGAATGTATCAACGGAAAAGAATGCGTTAGTCATAAACTGCGTCCACAAATTTTTAAATGTTTCCTTACAGTCTAAGATGTTTGCTGAAAATGAATATTTAATAAGTTCAGTAAGAAATAACTGTTATAAGTAGATCAGAGTTAAGCTATACTTACAACTTAGCATCATATAACCACTTGTCGCATGTCCAAAGATCACCCATGCCATACTAATGAAACGCATAAAATGAATTGGTCCTATTTGGCCTGGTTTATTGGTAGATTCAATGTTGAATATATCCTTGGTATTTCGGATCACCGAAAATGCCATTAAGCAGTGGAACCAGCATGCTGTAAATAAACTTTGAGCTACATTTGAATTTAATTTAATAAACACCTGTTAGCTAAGTTCTACTAATATTCAGAATATGTTTTTATTTCATTGATAATAACCCTCGACGACGATATAATTCAAAAAATATATGATTAAGTTTTATTAATATATGAAGAAAACACTCATCCAATCGTCACATAAACAGAATTACTTGTTTCGATTGAAGCCAACTTATAGTAATCAGAATTAAAATAGTTTGTAAACAAATCCCATGCAGTTGCCAATATAGCTATTACTCCAATAAATGCTATTATTGCTCTTAAAATAAATTAGCATTTAAATTATAAGAAACAAAAAAAGTTTTGAAATGTTTGTTCATATTTTATAGTCATAAATAATTAAAATTAGACAATCTGACATTCAAAATAATAGAATTTTTCGACAATGATATGCAATTCATAAAAGTGATCATAATATCACATTTAAACCAATCATTTAGTTAGATTTATTGATGATTTAAATTTTTAAATTTAAATTTTGATTTAAATCATATGGTTTTTGATCAATGACACTTATAAACCACTCATTAATTAGATCTATCGATGATTGAAATCATATGGTTTGATCAGTAGCTTTTGGTACTCGCACAATTTGTTTACGTTTCGAGAATACATCTTGCTACGTTCGTTTCACGCACAATTTGCTTACGTTTCGAGAATACATCTTGCTACGTTCGTTTCACGCACAATTTGCTTACGTTTCGAGAATACATCTTGCTACGTTCGTTTCACGCACAATTTGCTTACGTTTCGAGAATACATCTTGCTACGTTTGTTTCACGTTATTTCTGACAGTTAGAAGTAATGGCTTTTAAAATAATTGCAAATTTTTTTAAGAAACATACAATACGATCCATGTTTTGTAGTCGATAGGTCTCAATCGAACAGATGCCTGTTTTACAGTACACACAGGAGTAGAACCGTTGAATTTAATCACTGAAATAAATAAATTTTGAAAAAAAAAAAAAACCCTGAAAATTTCATCTTACTTTCTTTCCATCTTGCAATATGTTTTTCAAAAAGTTATTGAGCTATCATTGTTAAATAGCTCAAAATTTTAGAATTTGAAACTTTGTCATTTGTGATAGCTTCTTGAAACCTTTTTTTTATAACCTATTTTATTTTTATTAAAGTACATAAATCTCTTATTTTCTTGTTACAAAAGCAAATTTTATTAGGCATTTCATAAAATAAGTAGTGTGAATTGTATTTTAGTATTTTAATTATTGTAATGACTTTCACATCATAATGGAAGGAGTTTTGAATATTTACAAAGAAAAAAGAAAAAACAAGTCTTTGACATACGTGAACGACTTAGCGTCATTAGCGTGTCGTAGTTGTCACATGAGGATGGCAGGCATACGTCAAATGATGGATCACCGATATTGTATTGATTTAATTTGCAAGCACCTTTTGCATTGTAATTTCTTAACTTTTTATCAACAAAGATCCTAAAAATGCTTTTCACTCAATATTAAGTCGATTTTATTTACAATTACTGAAAGTTAAATGGTAGAGGAAAAAAGGAATTACAAGCTGAAAGTGCAAAAGCACATAAAAATTTCATTTCATAAGGAAGTTTATAACTTCACACGAAGAAGTAAATCCCTAAGTGATACTATAAAATATAACTTACGTGACTTACCTTACGTAACTGCCAGTAATGGTACGCGTGGAATTCGGCAATTGCTGTCTGGCTAACATACACTCTTCATACTGCCCAAATATATTAACATGACCACGAAGAATTCCCGAAGGCGGTAATTTTGCACTAGCATCAATCACTGCAAGTAGTAAAGCACATTTGACGTCTACCACTTTAACTTTTGAAACTTACGTAACTTTGAGCACTTTGCAAATTTTGCAATTTATCGTTTAATGTCATGTCATATTACAGATATTTGTCATAACAATGAATTATTCGTTGATAAGATATTCTATTAGAGATAAGACATTCGATAATAAGGTAGAGTAATGCAATTAGATAACACTAAAAGGTAAATAAATAGGTAAACATAGTGACAATCTAAGTTAAGGTAAAAAATCAAAGTAAAATATTAACAGGAGAAAGCTCAAATAGGCTGTACTACAGAAAAGATCAATCAGCTTATTATATCTACTCAACTTTTTCTAACTTTCATGGTTATCTTATTATCAGCTCCTGCAATTTTGGTGCCAACACTATCAGATATGCCCAACTTAGTCCAACTTATTACTCTCCAAAAGTTACTTTTCTCTTTTCTTTACTTTTATTACTTTATTAACACATATTCTATCCTTTATAATAATTAATTATATTATTGAAATGCTAAAATCAACTCGGAAGTAATGCATTCTGTAAATAGGATTTTTGCCATTCTGATATTTTGCTGTCATTTATGAAGTTTGCAACAGTTTGTAGTGATAATTTCACGTCCACTTTGCAATCTGAAAATATTTCACTTTTTAAACTATTCATTCTTTTCAATAAAAAGTAACGAAATCATTTCCAAAGTGATACCAAAATGTTTCATTTTTTTTTTTCAAATTTGAATTTTTCAGTCTTTTGGACTTTAAAAAGAAATTAATTTGTATGCAAAGTTTAATCAAAAACCTTCAGTGATATCAAGTTCATCGATATAATCCATCAACTGATCTATTTTGCTATCCATTAGTCTAATTAAATTTTCCATTGCAAAATTAGACAATATCCCATGCAACGATAGAAATAATTGTGTATTCTAAGAATGAAAGAAATTTTGCTAATGCACAATTTATTATTGATCGCAATGATATTAATAATCAAAGTAAATGATAGTTTTTACTGATAAGATAGGTTATCTTTCATTTAATTAAATACATTTCGAATTTACACCTAAGCTTAAATTGCAATAAGACTAACACTTGTTTTTAGGTATTTTTCCTGCAATCTAAGAGTATTATTTGAAATTGAATCAAAATATTTCATCCTGTCTCTATCGATTTCTGAAGCAACTAAAGGCAATAATAAGAAATTGATTATGGACAACTCGAACGACTTCATTTTTTGCTCTGAAATGACCAATGGTTAACAGATCTTTCCCACTTGTTAAAAATCAGTTTATTCAAATATTTCAAAAAAAAAGAAAAAATGTCAACGAATGCACAATGATAGATTCATTCTTAAATAGAAATAAGCAAATTTTTTGAATTATGTTCAGAATAAAAGTTATGAAAAGAACAATAATAAATGACAGAGAACATAAAATACTGAGAAAGACAAAAAAAAGTTACCAATATAAGGAGAAAACGAATCTTATCAGCAATGCTTGTGCTTATCACAAATTTTTTTAATGTATTTGACCAAAACATCATTGCTTGACAAAAGATTAACGGACAAATCGATTGCTTCAATTATAGAATTGAACTGTCACAGTTCTTTTGGGACATCAGTTTTGCAATCATTAAAAATTTTTAGTTTCGATAACTGAAAATATTCAGTTCATTAGTTTTCAGTGATTGCCAAAATCTCTGAGACTTTAGAAAGTAAGTTTTATCATGTGAAAGTTACCTTAGAGATGGAAAAAATTCGAAAATAACTTTCACAAGTTCATAAATTGAAAATTACATCAATTTAGATTCGTTTTATAAGTTTTACTAACTTATTTCTATTTTCTTCTTTTCACAGTAATGCATTTTGTTTGTGCTTAATTTCTCTGAGTGTCACACATATTGTCACTTATTCGTTAAGTGCATCTCTCCTTTTTAACCACTAACCGCTGTTTTAAATTACAACTTTCAAAGGTAGCAGTATTTGAAGAAATGTTCTCATCCTGGAATTCATCTGCTAAACTTAGCAAACTTGGACGATGGTACTAAATCTTTGTGTCATATGTTTGTTTGGAATATCCTTCCCACAAAAGTGATGCCTTTGCAAGACTGACGAACTTCATCTGGTCTTTCTCTTAGGGTAACTTTTCTAAAACTAATTAAACTCATCTCATCATAGACGTACTTTGTGTGACCTTTGACCTATTGTATGCCAACATAGCTAACACTTTCACGAGAGTATGCAAGCTTTTCTCCATCTCTTAAATTATAATCACTAAGTAATACATTAGCATTGTCATTCATTACAAATTACATTTGACTTATATCAGTCAGTGATAAGAAAAGTTTAATTCGAAAAAAGGACCGCCACAATCCTATCAATTTATTTGAAAAAAAAAAAAAAGATTTGACATCATTGATATAATCAAAGCATTTAATACCGTAAGCAGAAAACGGTTACGGTAGATCTTGCAGCGATGTAAGTTCATTAAAATGATCATACTGTTGCATGACGATCAGTGAGCGCAGTCAGCTCATTTATGAAGATTTGCGCTCTGAATCGTACCGGTGATCAAATTACAGAACTTTTTAAATTAAATTTTAGTTTGACGGACACATCACGTTAGATTGATTATTATTCTCTTTATATCACATAAATTTAATTAAATCATTTCTTGGATCGAAAATGAGATTGGATATAGGCTAAGAAATATACATAAATCATTAGGAATACTCTATAAAAAGTATGGAATAACAAGTATCTAAAGAAAAACACCCTTAATATCTACAGAGCCATCATACTATCTACTCTTCTGTACGGAAGGATCAGAAGAATTATGGACAATCTGTCGTCATTTTAAACTGTCCCATTAATGTTGTCTTTAAATCATTCTAAATCCACTACACTGATCAATGACCAATATTACTGTCGTCGAACAAAGAGGGACTACAAGTATAAAGGTTATCTTACTTAAACTTAAGTTGCTAGACAGGTCATATTTTAGGATGGAAGATTATCGCTTCTTAAAATTTTGCTCTGTGATTTATTAGCCATCGCAGTATATAAAATATCCCAAAAAAAAGAGATACAAGGAATTCCTGAAACAATCTTTTTTGTCTAGGACACAGTAACTGTCATCAGTGGTTGACAATCGAAAGACGTGGCGGTAATATCATCCAATGCGTTATTATTGGATTTGAGAACATATGCAAAAGGATGTATTCCATAGAGGAACGCTTTAAGAGTAATTCAGTATGGATCTTCATGAAGCCAAGCCATGAGTAATGGATCTTAGGATCTTCATGAAGCCAAGCCATGAGTAATGGATCTTAGAATCTTCATGAAGCCAAGCCATAAGTAATGGATCTTAGGATCTTCATGAAGCCAAGCCATGAGTAATGGACCTTAGGATCTTCATGAAGCCAAGCCATGAGTAATGGATCTTAGGATCTTCATGAAGCCAAGCCATGAGTAATGGATCTTAGGATCTTCATGAAGCCAAGCCATGAGTAATGGATCTTAGGATCTTCATGAAGCCAAGCCATGAGTAATGGATCTTAGGATCTTCATGAAGCCAAGCCATAAGTAATTTCAAAATTAAATTGGGAAAAGTTGTGTAGATTGAATTTTATTCTTTCTAAATAGCTCACTATATTCTAATCGATATTTTTTTTTTAGCTTTAATAACTTACTGATCTCAGCGAAAGTATTAGTTTATATTATCGTGATGAATTGTTATAAAATTTCCTTCTATTATCTCCGCTCATGTAATAAGCATATAAATTTGTGCTATTATCACTCTGCTGCAAAGGTGATAATCAATCTATCACGTCATTAAGTATTACATCGATAAATCAATTTAGCTGTTAGCAATAATTTGTGCTAATTTGTGCTTAAGAACTTATTTTGCAGATAATTCTTGAATTTTTAGTAGTAAGCTGCATTATTCTTATATTTATTTTCATCGTTCAATTGTAATTTAACTGCTTATTTTATAATATGCCAAATTAAAGTAAATCATTTGTAGATTTTAATTAGTTAAAGTAAATTATTTCTATGTCTAATTTCATACTAAATTTTAATAAAACTTTTGGACTAATTCTCTTAGCCGTACTTAACTACTATTACCTCCATTGTTTTCATCTGTGCTGTCACACATAGTTAAATTTTAAAAAAAAAAAAACAGATCGAAAATGATAGTTCAACTTTTTTTTTTTTTAAGAGTAATGATGGAAAATTTTAAATACAGGGAGAAATTTTTGCTCGTTACTACTTTCAATCTTCTAATCATGGCTGTTCTCTTTAACTAACCTATAATTTTATCTTTTCTCAAACGAAAATTAGAATTAAAAAATAGATAATATGAAGGTTTAATGTTTTTTTTAAAGTGTGAATTTGTTGAAAAAAAAAAAAATAAATAAATAAATAAAACAAAATTATGAAAATTTCAATTGACCAACTGACGATTTAACCGATAGTAGCATTATAAGCTTATAATTTTATTCAGATCATTGCTCAGCTATTATCGCTTTTCTTTCTCGCAGAATTAATTTCTAATTTTGAAAAATAGTCATTTTAGCAGAAAAAAATGATGACTAATTGTAATAAATAATAATAATCAACGTGTTATTATCATTATTATTATACTGTATTACGATTATCATAAGTTCATATGATAACTTAGTTGTTCCTTACGATTAATAATATACAATAGGTAATGACCAGATAAATTTTCATACTTAGAGAAACTTATAATCTTCAAATGATTCGAAAATGTTTTTATACTCCATAATTGTCATTTGTCAACATAGCCTTAGAAAGTAATCGACTTCAAAGAATTTATTGTTAGTGGTATAATTTGCATATCATTTGCTATGTAATTTAGACCAAGTTCAATTAATGTTACTTGTTATTATTACCGAACAGAGATTAAAATTATTTCAAAAACTGAGTGTTAAATTTTAAAAAGTAATAATCCTTTCTCTAACTTACTAATTCATTGATCATTTTGAAAAATTTAGATTATTTAGATTTATGGCATAACGAATAAAATGAGGAAGTGATAATAATAGTGATAATGATGATAATAATAATAATCGATATATTATTATTATTATTATTATTATTATTATTATTAAAATGTATTGCAATCGTTGTGAATAGAGGAACTAATTCAATAGCTGCGTTAATTACGCTCGTACATCTCTAACGCAAATCACTTCCGTTTTGAAACCGGAAGTGATTATTATTCAAGTTTATCTGAAATCTATATGAATTTTCACGTAAGAATTTTATAATTTCCAATAAGCAGAAAATGCTAAATGAATCAAAAAGATAGTCCAATAGTCTCTTCACAAATGTTTCTAATTTAAATTGTTTCTTCTAATTTTCAGTTATCAACAAGTTTAGAAAGTAATCGCTTCTAAAGAAATTGTTGTTAGGCAACGGTAGAAACTATCATCCAATGAAAGTAATTTGCTAAGAAATTTAAACGCTTAATTAATATCACTTGTTATTATCATTTGATAAAGGTTAGATTTATTTATTTTAAAAATTGTGCATTGAACTTTTAAAAAAAAATAATAATTGTTCTTTAACTCTAAGAAATTATCATCATTTGGAATGGCAAAATAAATATATCAAATAAATTAATATGCATAAACTGAAATTGCAAATTTATAAATAAATTTGCATGCAAACAAAGTAAATAAAAGTTACTTTTCATTATAATTCTTATAAGCAATGATATAATTTTAATTTGATATCGATGATGAGATTTAAATACTCTTATCACAGAGCTAAATGTCATTTTGAAAGTGTTTGTTTCTGTGGCAACCATATTAAAATCAGTAGACAGCAATATTTGTGCAATTTCTATTTCAGATTCATTAAAAATTAACTCATAATCTGATAGCTAAAATCATTATTTTGTCACATTACTTTTACTGAGCAACGAGACATTGAGGAACGGAATGTCATTTTTAAATAATTGAATCTCCTTGATAAACAAATTCAATTTTTTTCGATATTTTTACTTAAAAAATTTTAGTTTTAAATTTGATATATAAAAGTGAAAGGAAACTGATCACTTTTTTCGAAAATTTAACTTTTTTATTCGAAATGTTTATATTGTGATAACTCTTTCGAATTTACAGATT